GTGTTGGTCTGGCTGTATTTCATGGATGGGAGACACACAAAAACCTTCCATCAATACATAGTGATTTAAAGCCGTAAAGTACATACTGTTTCAGATCCCCAAGTTTAATTGTCTGTATAAATAATGGGTGAGGTCCATGACTGGGAAACATTTAAATTTCCATCACATGAGTGGGAAGATTTTCAGTTCCAGTCTCTCTAGTACTATGTTAGATGAATCAGAAAGGGAAGCCCCATTTTGGCCAACTCCATCCATCCGTGGAATCTAACACTGATAAATAGATTCCATGCCTATTATTTGTAAATAATTGAATTATTTAAGATGCTGAATATAAGATGCTGAGTTTTTTAAAAAGAATGTCAAAGATTGTGATTTGCACGACATATATTGTGCATCAAATAGCAAAGAGGAAAAAATAGAGGAATTTAAAACATGCCATTCTTTGTTTTGGAATCCGGTTGTGAAGCATGAAACCAGCATATTAGCTTGTGGTTAATATGGGCTGCCATTCGTTCACTTGCTCTCATTTCTGCCACTATTTGAAGTGGAAGCAAGCTGTGTTCGTGTCAAGGTTTGTGAAGGGGATAGAGATTTTTTAGGGCTTGACTTATTCAGATAGGATGGTCCGGGTAGCTTAAAATAGGAGGCCATCCGACCTTCCAAACTGTGACTCTTCATATTTTGTGGAACCGTTCCCTTCCCAAACACCGATCAGCTATTCATAGATTGATTAATGGGTATCTTTTTTATTGCTTAAAGAGCCTTAAATTATTTAGCGCAGCTTACCACCATGCTGCCTAGAAGCTTAGGTTATTAAAAGATGTGAACTATCTAGTTCGCGATCTTATATCTGTGCAAAGCTAGTCATTTGGTAAAGAGGCAGAATGAAACAACAGTGGACATCTCCGAGGACTTAAGACAGACCGTAGCTCCTCCTCCCCACTCTAAGGGCAGGTGTCTGAGAGCCTTTGAGGAGGCCTCCCCCTCCCGCTACCACTTGGAGCACACTGGGAAGCGGGAGATCAGAAAGCCTTTAGTAGACCCCGAGGCCGTGGCTTAACGTGCGGTAACAACAACCATCGTGGTAACCATCAACACTTAAGTGATGGGAAAAATCCCTGTTCTCAGAAGAGATTTTGTGGCATTAGCCACACACACATTTTTGTCTGTGATGCCAGCTGCCCATGAATTGGCTTCTGCAGCTCTTATATACAAGTAGGCACTGAGAGCTCGGGACTCTCTCCCACCCCTGGCTCCCAAATCGTCATTTCTCAGAACCCCCGTGAGCTTTCAAATCAGAATGAGGGATGGAGATCACCTCAGCACAGGACAGCAGCTGCTTTTGCTGTGGCGGACAACCTGGGGAGGCACTGATGCGCATTGCTATCCCAGCAAGGCCACCGTGGTGGACAAAGGCCACCATGGATGAAAGTGGTTTGTTTTCGTTTGTTTCATTTGCTTAGGCAGGTGAGGCCAAAAGTCCAGGCTTCTGGGACTTACCTCACTAGTACACGGACGAAGTCGTTCTAAAAATGTGTGCATTCTTTGACATCTTTAAGAAATGTAATTTGCTTTTGGTATTGTTTTTCAGTTCAGAGCTGCAAGACTAAAAAAGGCCTCCATTTTTTAGAGGATGCCTCCATTTCATCATGCCTCCATTTTTTAGAGGATGAAATCCAATCTTATGTATAACAATCTTCTATATTTTTTAACACAACTTATTTAGAAATATTTCTAAGCTTATTTAGCAGACTTATTTAGAAGTAGCAGCATTTTACCTTTTTGTTGCAATTAGTTTTCACAACTAAGAGGAAATCATCAAAGAGAAACAGATAAACACCTAGGAATCTTGTGCTTTCTGAGGAGAAAAAGGTGTAATTGGGGCTGGAAATAGTAAGCAGAAGGTGGTGTTTTTTGAATCAAAGAATCCCTTAGAAAGCAAGACAGGGCCGTGTCAGGGCACAGGAGGCTCGCAGCTTGGGAAACTCCAATCATGTGGATCAGAAAATTGCATTACTGTTAAACCGATTTCCCCCTCAAGCAGAGACTTGATGTGAGCCCATGCTTCTGCCTTTAAAGACATTGTATTTGTGATGTATTTCATGTGGATCCAGGGTAACTCAGTTGGTATTTGCAATGGTTTCAGCTAAGCCTAGGACACATCTATCCACTAATGGAATTTGCAATATTTTCGCCTCTCGACCCATCCGGGTGGTCATTGGCCAAGGTATACTTGACCAGAAAAAAAGGCATTTTATTATTGCTGTGAGCTGACTTGTGTCCCCCGCCCACTCCCCCAACTCATATGTTGTAGCCCTAACCTCCAATGTGGATTTACGAGGAGTAAGTAAGATGAAGTGACGGCGTAAGGGTGGAGCCCTGGTCCATTAGGATTAGTGCCGTCGCAAGAGGATGTACAAGCCAGCCGATTCTCTCTGCCACGTGTGGGCACTGAGAGTGAGGCCATCTGCAAGCTGAGAAGAGAGCCCTCATCAGTCACTGAATTGGCCGGGAACTTGATCAAGCACTCCCAGCCTCCAGAACTGGGAGAAATAAATTGCTGTCCTTACAGTGGCCCCGTCTGTGGTATTTTGTTATGACAGCGCTAGCTGATTAAGACAGTAAAGCGACCTGCCCCTCGAGTTTTGCAGTGTGTCCATCCATGTTTAAACGTTCTTCATGTAGCTTTATATTTATAAACTTTTCTGGTGTCACTTTTCATAGTTACTTAAAGCAAATGGCCTTTTATATTTTTCCCTAAGAAAGGGATAGTAGTAGAAGAGAAATCAAATAGAATGGGAGGGGCGCCTGGGTAGCTCAGTCAGTTAAGCGTCTGACTCTTGGTTTCCGCTCAGGTCATGATCTCACGGTTCATGAGTTCGAGCCTCGCGTTGGGCCCTGCGCTGCCAACTTGCAGTCTGCTTGGGATTCTGTCTCTCTCCCTCTGCCCCACCCCCACTCTGTCTCTCTAAAACTAAACAAATAAACTTAAAAAAATAATAAAATGAGGAATTGCCCCTCCCTATTCTACACTATCCCTTAGAAATTAGAAAAATAGGGGCGCCTGGGTGGCGCAGTCGGTTAAGCGTCCGACTTCAGCCAGGTCACGATCTCGCGGTCCGTGAGTTCGAGCCCTGCGTCGGGCTCTGGGCAGATGGCTCGGAGCCTGGAGCCTGTTTCCGATTCTGTGTCTCCCTCTCTCTCTGCCCCTCCCCCGTTCATGCTCTGTCTCTCTCTGTCCCAAAAATAAATAAACGTTGAAAAAAAAATTAAAAAAAAAAAGAAATTAGAAAAATAAATGGTTAAATATAAATGATTTCAGAGGAAAAAGCAGTCCATTCAGAGGCAGATGTAACATATGTTTAAAATAAATATAAAAAAATAAGTAAATTTGGGGCGCCTGGGTGGCGCAGTCGGTTAAGCATCCAACTT